GGGACAGAGAGAGACAGAGCATGAACGGGGGAGGGGCAGAGAGAGAGAGGGAGACACAGAATCGGAAACAGGCTCCAGGCTCTGAGCCATCAGCCCAGAGCCTGACGCGGGGCTCGAACTCACGGACCGCGAGATCGTGACCTGGCTGAAGTCGGACGCTTAACCGACTGCGCCACCCAGGCGCCCCTGCATTTAGTTTTTAGATACTGCAGTAGTTAGAAATAGAAAAGAGCATAAGACACTGATGGCTATTCTATAAAGCCATATAAGGTAAAAAGAAAAATATTATCCATGACTCTGAACATTTATTATTTGAAAAATGTGTCTTCCACTGAGCTGGTTTGCAATTTTACCAAAGAACATTTGCAATCCTTAATTTCTAATATAAAGTTGGAAAAACTAAGGCACAGAAACGTTAAACATCTTATTAGCTTCCATAACTCAGAGGTTAGATCATAGAATACTTTTAACTTTTAAATTCCAATTATATGTTAAGGTAGGGAAATCAGTTTCTCATGAGCCATTTAGATCTTGGTTAAAAATATAAACCAAGTAAAAATTTTCTTCAGTATAGCTGCTTGAAGACAATAAAAATCTCCCAATTACTGCTTTTAAAAATTCCTGTTATGATTACTGGATAATTTTTGCTTTCATAAATAACCATTTGTCATTCAAGGGAAAAAAATGTATTCTCTTGGATTTAGCTCTAGTTAGTTCTCATAGGGTGATGGGCGTTGAGGAGGGCACCTGTTGGGATGAGCACTGGGTGTTGTATGGAAACCAATTTGACAATAAATTTCATATATAAAAAAAAGAAACTTACAAAAAAAACAAAAAAAACAAAAAAAGAAAGTAAGAACTGATATATACGATTTGTTGGTCATTTCCGGTCCTCTAATAATAAATCTCTTCCGTCCCACTGGCTTGCCTGGCTGCCTCACCTGTAGTACAGCTTCTTCATCGTAAAGGGCAAGCAGCTGTAGCACTGTTTATAGATCTTATTCCCATCAGTTTCCAGTTCTGATCCGCACTTTGCACAGCCAGTATATGCAATGTCAGGAAGGGAAGAGAAGATGCTCCTCAGGGAGCTGTGGGCATTCAGAGTTATCTTCTGAGCTGCTGTAACAGGTATTACTAGCTCTAAAATCTGGGCTTTGATTAGAATCACTCCTACAAGAGACCAACAAAAAGACATATTTATAAATGATAGGACCAAAATTATAACTGCAGTTTACAAACATGGTTAACGATATGGTTGATTCCGTTGCTTTTACAGTGAAGGATATCCCTGAGGACTCGCTTTTGGTCTTCTCTTTTGTTCACTCTTTCCCTGGACAATCTCACCCGCTTGCAATTTCAGTGTTCATTCTGGGAAGTGATGGGTGAGCTGCCGGTAACTAAAAGTGAAGATTTATTTGGAGAGTTTGGTTGCAGAGGTGGGTGTTTTCTTCCTCTCTGTTCTCTAGCATCATGCAAAATAAGGTCTATCCTTCTTTCAGGAGAAATTCCTTCAAACACTTGAAACCAGCTAATATACCCTCTTTCCCTGTCCTGTCTTTCTTCTAATCATTGCTAAAAGCCAAGTGGCAGGTCAGCTATTCTTTCAGTCTCTGCTTTATCCAAAATAATACACCACTAGCTTATCCTCTGTTTAAACTTTGTTTTTGTTTTTCAATTTCCTGCCCATCACCATCCATTCTCTGGGCATAGGTTACACAGCACATGAGCACCGAGAGTCTGCATTTACGAAATGTGTGACTCGCCAGGACATTGAGCATGTTCCTTGACTGCTCACTGGCTCATGCATTCACCTGTTAGACAAATACTGAGTATCTGGTATCTATCAGGCATTCCCTTTTTCTAATTCGCCTTTGCCTTATTATATACTAGTGAGGTCTGTGAGTTCATCTGAGTTCATCTTCTCCCCTCCTCTCCAGATTCAGTTTAAAACCTTTATTTAAGCCTTTGGATTTGTTCTTCTTCATCCTTTTAGCAGGGAGTATACTCCAGGTCAGGAACTCATCCTTCTGGCTACCTATGCTCTTTTTGGGTTGTCTTCTTTAAGACTCCCACTAATGGTGACTTTCCTATTCCTAAGTCCTTCTGTTTGCTTTAGTCTTTTGGCACCCAAAGACTTTTCCAATCATGTCCTGTATCCCACATGAATTGCAAGAATACGTAGTGGTCAGCATACTTAATAAACTACAGCAGACTCTACATCATACCTTTCCACAGACATGTTGAATCACTAAAACATTGATGAAAGAATTCAATAATTTTAGAAGAACACTAACATCACTCCTAACATTTTATAAATTTACACACCTCTATAAAAGAATTAAAAGTTCATTATTAATGTAGCTTCTGCTTCAAGGGGGCTTATAGCCTGCTGGGTACTGACATTCTGCTGATGGAAGGACCAGATGCTGAGTAAGCATCTTCATTTCTTTATAAGGAGCCAGGCACAGCCTCACCCCATCCAGCTTCTGTGAAGTTTTGTTAAGAGAACAGACTTTCTTAGGAAATTGTCCCATGTTGAGCTCCCTTTCTCCCTCCTTTTATTTAACTGAAACATGTCAGGAAAAAACTGCTTGTACTTCTATATACTCTATCCATTTCTGTCTTAAAAACACATAAACAATGAGAGAAACAATGAATTTAGCCCTCATAAGTGAACACAAAGAGAAGGAAAAATGGCTAAAAGGACCACTCTGAACACAGCCTAACCAGGGACTGACTGTACAGCACAAAGTCTCTGCATGGTTTAACAACGGGGAGTCCATCTCCAGAGTTTGCAAGGACATGCCCAATCCTCAGCCTCAGCCCCCAAACCAAATCTTCAGAGCTGTGAGCACCTATTTTGTTAGTGTTTATGATAGTCATTTTTATTTTAAAATCGATTTCTATGTCTTCAATTCCAGCAGGGAGCTGCTCTGTGTAAGCAGTAGATAATAGAGCTGACTTCTCCATGACACCAAGTTAAATGTAGCCCCTATTCTACCTGTGGCATACTTTCTTGCAGCAACCAGCTCCATAAGCCTATAGTGCTCTTGGAGGGCAGAGGAGGGGTGCATAAATATGAAGCAGTATAAAAATTTGTATATTCTATCATCTGTGTTCATCTTCTAGAAATGTTAATTTTTTAAGGTTTTATTTTTAAGTAATCTCTACACCCAACATGGTGCTCGAACTCATGACCCCAAGATCAAGGGTTGCATGCTCTACTGACTGAGGCAGCCAGGCGCCCCCAGGAATATTAATTTAAATTAACTGTTAGTATTGGGGTGCCTGGGTGGCTCAGTCAGTTACGCATCCGACTTCAGCTCAGGTCATGATCTCTCGGTTCATGAGTTTGAGCCCTGCATTGGGCTCTGTGCTGACAGCTCAGAGCCTGGGAGCCTGCTTTGAATTCTGTGTCTCCCTCTCTCTCTGCCCCTCGCCTGCTCACACTGTGTCTCTCTCAAAAATAAACATTAAAAATTAAAAAAAATTAATTAACTTAGTATTAATAAATGTTGCAATGTAGAACTAGGTATATGGAGTTCTTCTCTAAGAATAAATCTCTGTATTCCATTAAAAGTTGGGTTTTTTGAGAGGTGTTACTGTTTTTGTTTTCCACGTGCATTCTCCTTAGACTTAATAATGGTCATATCTTGGAGAACATATATGCATACATATGTGAATTAACACTACACAAGTCAGAAAATTTTAATCTGGCATTTGGCCAACGTAGAAAAAGGGACTGGATTTATGCTCCCATCTTATGATATAATAAAAAATAAATATTTGATCTTTGTCCCTAGTTCCTGGCACAGAGCTCTAAAAAATGCTTGGATCTCCAAGTGATAAGAGTGACTTCCGTATGCTAATAAGATGATGACAGGCGGCTGGGGGCCCATGGGCAGCTTCAGGTCTTGGTGGGGAAGGGGGCTGATGACCAGAAAGACCAAGGCATGGTTAGAGAGTTGGAACTTTCAGCTCCACCCCCCCAAACTCTGGGGAGTGGAAAGAGATTGGAGATTGAATTAATCACAAACAGCCAGTGGTTTAATCAATCATGCCTACACAAGGAAACCTTGATAAAAGCCTTAAACAAAAGGGTTCAAGGAGCTTCTGGGTTAATGAACATGTTGAGGTACTGGGAGAACCTGAAAAGGGTGGAGGCTCTGTGCCCCTTCATCCATACCTCGCCCTGTGCATCTCTTCCATTTGGCTGTTCCTGAGTTGTATCCTTTATACCAAACCACTAGATGCAAATAAAGAGTATTCCGGGGGCACCCGGGTGGCTCAGTTGATTAAGCGGCTGACTCTTGAGTTAGGCTCAGGTCATGATCTCACAGTTCAGTTTGTGAGATGGAGCCCTTGTGTCAGGCTCTGCATTGACAGCACCAGCGCAGAGCCTGCTTGGTCTTCTCTCTCTCCCTCTCTCTCTCTCTGCCCCTCCTCTGCTCACACACGTCCTGTCTCTCTCTCAAAATAATATTTTTTTTTTTAATGGATACATTGGAGTTCATCAAGATTCAAAACTTAGGGCCTTCAAAAGACCTGGTTAAAAGAACAAGTGAGAAGACAAATGATAGACTAGGAGAACATCTTTGCAAAGCATGTATCTAATAAATAATTTTTATTCAGAATATAAAGAACTCTCAAAATTCAATAATAAGAAAATAATCAACCCTTGTTTTTTAAATGGGCACAAGATTTCAGTTGACACTTCATCAAAGAAGACATATGGATGGCAATGAAGTACATGAAAAGATGCTCAATATCATTAGCCAATAGGGAAATGCAAATTAAAACCACAACCACCTATCATTACCTAAATTAAAAAGAATGCCCATACCAAGCGTTGACGTGGATATGGGAAAAACAGAACCCCCACACACTGCTTGGTGGAAATGTAAAATGCTACAACTACTTTGGAAAACAGTTTGACAGTTTCTTAAAAAATTAAACACACATCTACCATACAATACAGCTATTTATTCAACTCCTAGGTACCTACCAGCAAAAAAAGAAAGGACTATGTCCATCTAACACTTTATACATGAATGTTTATAGAAGCTTTACTTATAATAGCCAAGAACTGGAAACAACCCAGATGTCCATCAGCAGATGAACAGACAAATCGCAGTGCATTCATACAACAGAATAAAAAGGAATGAATTAGTGATATGCACAAAAGCAGAGATACATCTCAAAAGAATTTGCTTAAAGATGCCAAACAAAACAGTGTACATAATATATGATTCCATGTATAAAAAATCATAGAAAAGTCAAACTAATCTCTGGTGATAGAAAGCAGATTGATTGCCTAGAAGGATCAGGGGTCAGGCATGCGTGGAAGGGAGAGATTACAAAGGGGCAGACTGGTGATGGTTTAACGACTGTGGTGATGGTTTCATGGGTTTCGTGTCAAAACTCACCAGTGTGAATGTGTATACTTCAAATAAGGGCAGTTTACTGTATGAAAATTATGCCCTAAAAACTCAGTTAAAAACCTTTTTAAATCTGACACTCTGAGCCATATTTGAAAAGCACTCTGATAGATCCTCTGCTCTGCCTATGATACAACTTACACCTTTCTGTAGATGTACCAAAAGGGGGTATAGCGTGCCAGCAAAAAGTCCCAGAAATAAACTTGAAAATCTTAGCATGTGATCTCTTAGGAGCTTCAAACCCATTTCATTTTGGAACAGATTCTTTTTTATTAGAATTGTAAAAATAATCTTATTTCACTTAAACCACACCTAGCATTTAATAAAATCTAAAACCATCTATAAGAATTCAGAAAATCACTCATGCAAACGGGAGAATAAAATTAAAACTTACTATCAAGATCCAAAGTTCCTGAGATATTCTTAAAAACTTAACCTTACAAAAGCACCAAAAATGGTAATCTTATATAAATTCTGAGAAAAAAAATTTGACCAAATATTATCTTTTTCATTAGAAAATTTAAATTATGTAACAATAAACCTACAGATACATTCCATTTTTTTCAACCCTCATTTCCCCTCTAAAAACAATTGCTACAATAACCACTAGAAAACATTCTATTAGTTTCCAAGATTGATGATCACTGACATTTACTGATTGATTATTGGCATTTAGCAACCTTAAATATAGCCTTGAATGCCATCTAATTTGTTATACCTTTAACTAGGAGTTAGCATACTTTTAGCATCATCTCTGTACTTAGGAAGCCAATGCAATTTATGAGAAGTATTTTCCACTTAACTTGTATCACTTTATCTAGTTATTTTCACTATTTGACTCTCTTTATTCTGAAGTGTATAACATATTGAACACAAAGCACATTCCTTTTACTACTGCACTCTAATTACTTTAATGGTATTAAGTTCATGGAAAGCATGTATGTGAATAAAATCCATTTCCAAAGCCATTCTTTCATGTAGTGTTTCTAAGGATTAATTTCATACCCATATATGCACACACACATACAAATACGTGAGTTCAGAAAGTACATTATATTTTACTAAGCAGTAAGCAAATTGCGTGGATTCTATATCAATGCTAAATTTTAACAACCATGTATAGGTAGCAGCTTAGTAACTTGATAAAATGCTTATCTCAACAGTCACTCTGGTTAGGGTCATTTTTCTATTTCCGGTTTATTAAATGATGAACGGCTTGTATAAATATGCAAAAAATATTTTTAAGTAATTCTCTAATAATTACAACTTAACCTCAAAGGATTGGTAGGCAGAAAGCTCAGAAGATGCAAATATCTGGTTCGGCTATTTATGATGATCTGTATTTCACTTTTATGTTCAATTGTACATTTTTCCCCACAAATGGCAGCTTAACCTAGCAGTGTCTTACATATATAGAGATCTTACCTGAACACTTATCCTCTAAGTGTGTTGCCAAATCTGACATCTTCACAAAGGAGGGCATGCTTTTTTGGAATTTTGCTTTAAATTTAACCGCCCTTATATCATCATCAAACAGGCACTCACAGGATGACCAAGATGTTGTATGCAATTCTAAGCTTTCTAGGTTGTAATTGCGCTGAACAAAAAGATATTTAAATTCCCAAATATAATCTTAAACAAACAAACAAAAACAAAAAGTCACCAAAAAAGAAATAATCTAGGCTCAGAATCAAATTAAATAGATCAATCTGATTAAATCAGTTAAATGCAACATTTATCGCACTAAGGAATTTGGGTGTAAAGAGACAAAATGTGAACGCTGTTTTAAGGCAATAGGATAAAGATGCTGGAGATAATTTTAATAAAAATGTTTTCTAAAGATTTCCTGGTCTCTTAAACAGTCATAATTTATCATAACCAACTGCTTTTCAGACTAGCTATTTCCTGTTTTGGTATTTATAGGCAAAGATTTTTAAAAATAGTAAGGCATAGAAATGGACACATGTCTGCCATAAGTAATATCTCTCGTTGATTTTCCAACACCTTTGTTTTCTTATTTAGCTAATTTTTCCAGGACCAAAAAAAAAAAAAAAAAAAAGCATTGAGAGACAATTGCATGTATTTTTAGCTCCATCAGTAATAATCTGAATCCTTAAAACCACAGTAGCATAGAGCTCCTTTTCAAATAATCACATTCTATATTCATAAATTCAACTTTATAATAAAACAAAAAGATTTCTTAGCACTAAGTTTTCTAATAATAACAGCTATTTTTATAAAACAGTATTTTTAGTTTCCTTCAGGCAATAAATCTAATTCACACCCCTCCCCAACACTGCCTCCTTAGTTTTTTTCCTTAGTTTCGTTTGGAAAAATGGACAGTCTTAAAAACGGTAAATCTGTACAGACAGAGCATCGTTAGGAAGAGCTAAAGCATATATATTCCAAGTTATTGCTTAAAAACAATAGCTATTTTTAAAATGGTTTGCTTGTCTTATTATAAAATACATGCTTAGAAATGAGAGAAGCTAAATAAGCAAATAAATAACACCTGTAACCTCAACATCCCCAAATCAACACAGTTAACACTTTTGTGGACATCCAGTTGTTTTCAATGTGATTTTTACTTAATATGTTAAATATATTTTGTATGTCCTTAAGTATTATTCTATATTAATTTTTTTAATGTTTATTTACTTTTGAGAGAGAGAGAGAGAGACAGAGAGACAGAGAGAGAGCAAGCAGGGGAGGGACAGAGACAGAAGGAGACACAGAATCCAAAGCAGGCTCCAGGATCCGAGTTGTCAGCACAGAGCCCAATGCAGGGCTCGAACCCATGAACCACGAGATCATGACCTAAGCCGAAGTCGGATGCCCAACTGACTGAGCCACCCAGGCGTCCCATTATTTTATATTATTTTAAAATACTACATAATATGTCAATACTTTGGCACAGATATTCCAAAATCTTAAAAATTATTATAGCAATTCCCTATTATAAAAGCATGTTGGTTGTTTTTTCAATTCTTTACTATTATAACAATACTGTGATAAATATATTTTTAGCTACATCTCTATAGCCATGAGAAATTCCTAGAAGTATAATCATTAGGCGAAAGGTATTCCAAATTCTGAGATTTTCAAACACATTACCAGTTGTCCTCAAGAAAGGTTTTGCCAAATTACATTTCCAATAGTTTATGAGAGTAGCTGTTCCTCCACATATTCTCTATCAATTTCTCAGGAGAAAAATCACGGGCTGTCATTATTTTATTTGTGTGCCTTCAATTACTAGTGAGTAAATTTTTTTCATACATTCATTGGCCATCTTTATTTCTTCTTTGGGGGACTTTCTGTTCATATCTCCTGCCCATTTATCCTTACAGATATTTGTCTTTTGCTTATTGCATTATTTTCTGACAAAATGCAATATTTTTTTCTGGTTTTTCACTTTCTTTTTAATTTGGTATATGGTGATTTTTTTTTAATTTTTTTTTCAACATTTATTTATTTTTGGGACAGAGAGAGACAGAGCATGAATGGGGGAGGGGCAGAGAGAGAGGGAGACACAGAATCAGAAACAGGCTCCAGGCTCTGAGCCATCAGCCCAGAGCCTGACACGGGGCTCGAACTCACGGACCGTGAGATCGTGACCTGGCTGAAGTCGGACGCTTAACCGACTGCGCCACCCAGGCGCCCCCTTTTTTTTTTTTTAATTTTTTTTTTTTTATGGTGATTTTTATGTACGGTTCTTGTTGCTGCATTTTTTTAACCTTCTAATCTTTTTTTTTTTTTTAACGTTTATTTATTTTTGAGACAGAGAGAGACAGAGCATGAACGGGGGAGGGTCAATGAGAGGGAGACACAGAATCTAAAACAGGCTCCAGGCTCTGAGCTGTCAGCACAGAGCCCGACGCGGGGCTCGAAC